TCTCCCCGCTCGTTTTGCGGTGTCACATGTTTCGAAATTTGAACTAAAACATAACCGCAAATAGACCTTAGCAAACCCTATCGAATGTACATTTAAAGTTTAATTTTGGTTACGTTTTTTGATGCGAAAATCCTATTTTTTGAAATGTTTCATCAGCTGAAATATCAAGTTAGTAGTGAAAAACTAAGAAAACAGTTTGTTTATAAAAACATGAAAAAGATCTAACCAATAGTTTACTTTATTTATGGCTATTAGATTTACGAGTGATATTATTCACGAAATTAATTTTTTTCAGTGGTTTTTAGGGTTAATTGAAAAATTTGACTGACGACTTTTACTCGTGAGTAAAAGATAGTTGGTTAGACAAATTTGTTCTCCAGACTTTGTACTTTCAAATAAAAACAAAATTCTAGTCGATCCGACGTTTCATTGCTCGGAGCCTCTGAAATCTTATCTCTGAGTCAGAGGTAAGACTCAACATTATTGCAGAGACTTTTGCATTCTATGTTATTATATCTGCTGTCTATTCACTTTATATGTTAACGTCACTAATTTTTGTTTATTGTATGGCATATTAGAAGAGATCAAAGTAAATATATTATTTAAGTTCCTTCCTATTAAGATTTCATTCTGAAATGCGTGCATAATTTACATCTATGATAATGTTTTCATTTTCTTTTTTTTCACTTTGTTATCAAGATGCTCTCTTCATTATCGACTTAGAAATAAAAGTTCTCTATAATTTTGAATATGAAATAATTATATTATCATGTTAAATAACCTATTTTTATTTGTACTCTTTTTTTTCAGGATGGATAGTAAATTTTCTCGTTTACAAGAATTTGTTAGTGAAACAAAAAATGGTGGTAGTGTGAATAATAGTGATCCTGGTCATTCTCCTTCTGTATGGACACGATCAATATTTTCACGCGATGTCTTTAATACAAATATGAATCGTTTTAATACATTTATACGACGACCACGTTCACTTTTTGGAGGTCATGGAGTTGATCCTGTATCAACAAATGGTAGTAGCGATGATATGAATGTATTATTGAAACAAGGGGAAAATGATCCTATTTTACCGACATTGGTACGTATACAGTTTTGATAAATTATAGATATTTGTAACTACATTGTGTGTTTGAATTAGTTTAGAGTAAAAAACAGCGTATACTTGGATTTATGGGATTTCTATTAATGGGCGTAATGTGTATGGGATTAGCAACATTGTATATACCAGTTATTGTATTTAAAGCAAGAAAGTTTGCATTGTTATTCTCATTTGGTAGTTTATTCTTTCTATCAAGGTATAATTCACAAATCTATCTATCTAAAAGTCAAAAACTTTTTTAAAATTAATAATAAATATTATTTTTTATCTTAGTTTTTCGATGTTATGGGGTCCAGTGAATCATCTACGACATTTATTCGGTGTAGAACGACTTCCATTTACGATAACATATATTGGAACATTAATTGGAACAATTTATTACTCTGTCTGGGTAAGTAAAAGAATTAAATATTGGAACATTTTTGATTGTTCACATTCGCTCCGTTTCAATGCACAGAGAGATGTCGCTAATTACTGTTAATATCTCTTGATCATCACCGTTTTTCTTTTCTGTTCATCATTTCCATATATATATGTTAACGTCACTGTTAGTACACTGTGTCGTAAAAAAGGAGAGACGGTTAGCACTCCCCTAGACAAGGACGGATGAGGTCTTCGGACCTATACGATACACCAGGCAAGGCATAACCCGCAAGGGTTACCTGGCTTAGTTTTTCATTCAAAACGAGATGAACCGTTTTATAATGCATACTAAATTCCATCGTATTAGTATTTGAATCAGAATTGATCCTGAAAGAAGGTTAGTTGTTATACCACTTATTGCACAAATATTCAGGGATGGATGTGACCCAAATGTTTTGGTCAAAGCCGCATTTTTTTGTCATATTAACGATGATCGCGAGCAAAATCTATACACATTTTTTTTCTTAAAAATGAAGTATTTCAGAGATAATAACCTGATGATCCTCATTCGTAGTCAAGTGTTTAAGAGAGAATAAATCATGATTAGATCTGAAATTCGTGAAATACTGCAATGAAAAAACATTTTTCAGTCAAAAAACTGGTAAAGAATATTTTCCATCATCTAATTTAAGTTACCATGAACTGAACACTTTAAGCTTACCTTTAAACAGTCACGATTAGGCCGAGTCCATGACGGTCACGCACATCTCTAGCGAATATGTATGTGTACAATATAGCTTGTTGATGAGTATGCTTCGTACAAGGGTTTTGTCCTGCCACTTTCAGAACTTCCTACCCATCCCTTCCTCATTTTTTAAACGAATTTATTCTAATGGGTCCCATGCAGAGCTGAGCAGCTCCGACCCCTCCCGGCTCCGACTCCAGGTTTTTCTGTCCGGCTCCGGCTCATCTCCTAGAGTTTTTACATCCAACTCTGGCTCCGGCTCCAAAAGATGTTCATCTTTCCTTGTTTTTCTTTCGATTGAATTTTCTAGGCGTTCAAGTAGGGAAAAATATGAAAATGAAAATCGTTTTGAAGTACAAATATACTCTATAACTGTATGATATATACATAAAAAATCTTCTTTCGAAAGCGTTACATTTAATAGAAGAAGGTCGAGACTGAGGCAGCATATATAAAAGTGTCATCAGCGCACACACTCGTATAACTATCTGCCGTAAGAGTGTCATTTTTACCTCGATTCGAACGTGCACAGCATCGTCGGCACACCGATTCCGGCTCCGGCTCTGAACTCAACGCTTCCCGTCCAGCTCCGGCTCCGTTTATGAACTGAGACGGCTCCCAGGAGCCGGGGCTGCCCAGCTCTGGTTTCATGAGGACAAATGTGTAGAAAAAAAGCAATATATCACGATAAAAATAGACAAAAAAGTAATGACGATAAACTCATTTTTATCCAGATAAACTCCTGTGTCATGGTATGTCAGGGTGAATTGCTACATCGTGATATTAATGTTAACGTGACAAACATCAGTTTAACACGGCAAATGTTGAATTATGGACAGTCTGTAAAAACTTTAAAAAAGTGAAATTTATGTAAACTTTCAACATGTCATACATCCACTTTCAAAATTTTCTGAGTTTTCTTATTAACATGTAGAGTCTAATCTATCAAAATGATACTGATGAGTAGAACCTGGTAGATCATACCAAAACATTTTAGGTGCCTATTACAAAACCCAAAACGATTTGTCGTGTCTATGACTGAGTTTCTCGTGTACAAGTATGGAAAATTGGGCGTTTATAAAGAATATTCAAGTAATAATCGAATCTTTTGACGAAAAAAGTAAACAAATTTCTCGTACAAGATAATATGAATATTTTTTCCATCAGCCACAGAATTAGTGAGAAATGGAGCTTTTTGCTAAGGAAAAACATCAATTTTTAAATTATGAAGCGCTCTTGATAATGACTGAGTGCACATCTGTGTCGAATTCACGTCGAAATATAATATATTAGGAAGAATGAGAGTCCATATTATTTCACAATAGAAAGTCGCTTCTAATTATAAAATGTACGATAAAATATCTTTCATTTAATCTTTTATTTCACTATGAATTGTTCCCATGAACAATCTCCAAACGAACAAATATTTAGTGATGAATTACATTTCCTACTGTATTTAAATTAAAATTAAAAAAAGATCATTTTCTTTATCTTTGTTATGTTTTATCTAATATTTAACTTCATCTCTTTAGTTGAAAAGTTATTTTTTAACTATTATCTTTGCTGTCTTACAAATTGCTGCACTTGTCTGGTAAGATTTCACAAATACAAAGTAAATATATATCTGAACAATTTCTATTTTTTAGGTATGTCGGTGCATATATTCCAGGTGGCACAAGAGGTTTAACATTTTTTACCAGATTATTTTATGCTTTTGTTTCAAAAACTGTCACAGCAACATTACCGATATAATTAATATTTTTCTCATTGTTTTTTTTCTCTTCACGATCAATGCTTATTATTGTGTATATACTCAATTGAATGATTTCATTTGTTATTTTGTAAAAATGAAAGAAAATAAGATAAAGTAAACAATTTGATTTTAATTTATAGTTTGATTAGGAAAGAGAGTTCCTAGTTTAAGTAAAATTTCAGAACATATGAGTCAAAATATTTTAGATGTTAATACAAAAGTGTTTATCTTCAATAAACAAACAAAATTTAGTATATTCTACGATATTTGTTCGTACATTTAAACGTTTTGGTGAATATGTGAAAAGTTATGGATATCAACCGAAATATTATCAAGGAGGTAACACAATTGATTATCTTCTTTTATTCTAAATAATAAATTTTCTCTTTTTATCATCTTAGGCTTATTACCACGACCAGAGACCATGCAAAATGATCCACCAGATTATTTGCCACCATTTATAGATCCAAAAGAATGGTCATTAGAAAATGCAACATTTGGACAAAATGATTATATTGGTAAGTGAATAGAGAATTTATGTTACGAGAGTAGTTAATTTTTATATTATTTTTCAGATATTCTTGACGATGAAACAATTGAACATTGGCAATTAGTACGTAATGCACCATTTTGGTTACGTGGTTTTGGTGGTAATGAATTACAACATTTATTAAGACGTATGAGATATGATGGAAAAAAATTAGAAGAAGAAAAACCACAAAAATATTCAGATTTAATTACAAGAATACGGTATTTGACATATAAACATAATTTTAAACATTACAAACGGCCCTGGTTGGCGAGACCAACATTGGGATCAAAAGAACCGTTACCCGAATATTGGGATCCACGATCAACTTAGGCATGATGTAATTATTATGATTCCTCTTTTCATATTTTTCTGTACATATAAAATGAATATTAATTTATATGAAAATACTTGTTTCAATTAAATATTAGTAAACTACACTTTTAGTAGAAAAAGTGTTTATTAAAAAGAAAACTTTTATTTATTTATTTATTTAATAAATAAATGTTACTTTATTGAATGATAGAATAGATTGTTCATTATTGAGAGATCAAATTTAATCTTGTAAAGGACTATCGACTTTTGCGAAAGTTTGACTAAGAGAAAACTAATCCTACGGCTACCTGTAGTATTAGCGGGTACATTTCAGTCGGCCAGTACTAGTCCTTTTCATTGAAGAGAAAATTAACGTTTTTCACATTTTTCTTCGTCAGCTCTCAATATGGCATGAATCGGAGTAAAACGTATATAACTCAATGATCTTAATAGATTTCAAAATTCAGTGTTTCCATAGAATTCCACGCAAAGAATAAACGCATCTAGACGCGTGCAAGGTCTTTCCTGGTCTCAATGATGAGTGTAAATGTAACTGTTGTTAAAAGAACGTTAAACGTGTCTAAAAATATTTTGTTTTTACTCCGATCGTCTAAACAAGTCTTAAGACTGAGAAGTGTCTACACACATCTTTCATTCAATTGAGGGGAAAAGATGCACCTGGACACATTTTTTTTTCTTTCACTGGGATAAAAAGAGCGTTTAGACGCGTTCTTAGGATCATCTGGATTTGTAAAACGCGTCCGAGTGTCTGTTTTTTACGAACAAAGCAAAATAAAAGGCGACTAATTGCTCGTCCGTATGACAAATTTTTCCAATGATACAAAAATCAAAAAATCAATTAACAATAGAGATCTTTTATGTTCATCGCTTGGCATGGTGAATGATCATCTGCGACAAAAATAGCAGTAATAATATCCGCAAGCTGGTGGAATTCGTTAACAGAGACGATTGATTACACATTGAGGAAATGTTAACATGAAATACTAGATGAACGTATCTTCATATCAAAAAATCTTTTAAAATTTAGTTGCAAAGGAAACTGCCGGCTTTTGTGAAAGTTTGACTAAGAGAAAACTAATCCTATGGCTAACTTTAGTATTAGTTGGCCCATTTCAGTCTGCTACTATTTTTTTTAAAATTCCTTTTTATTGACGAGAAAATTAACATTTTTCTTCGGCAGCTCTCAATATGGCATGAATCGGAGTAAAAAGTGTATAACTCAATGACCTTAATAGATTTCAAAATTCAATCTTCGCCCAAAAAATGTCCATTCAGTTCTGCACAAATTGGTCCAGATTGATTAAAAATATCGATTATTCTTGTTGAACAAATATTCGAGATAACACTTGAAAATGCGAAAACTGAAAAGTTTTGAAAAAATTACATTTATAATAACTCAATCGTTCAACTTTGTTTCAAGGCCAAGCTTGCACAAAAACATCGTCATAGACTGAGCTACATTTGGTATAAATAGGATCGAGTTCTTACAGCTTAATACTTTTTTTCAATTATGACAAGTCATGAGTTTTTGCTATGCGCACTTTATACAGGATTTTGACAAGTTTGTTATTTTTACTTGAACGTTAAGCATAAAATTCAATTAATCACATTAAATTTGATGGCATTTCACTATCTCTATGACTAGAAAACAAGATTTTGTCAAGGAAGCAGGAAGAAAACGATTATTGTTTTTCTACTCTTTGTAGAATTTTGACTTTGGTTTGATATAAGCCTAATGACATTTAAAAGTGTTTGCCAACTCATTATTTGCAATTTATGTCAATTGGCGAAAAAGACGACAATATGATGAACAAAATGTAACAGATAAAATGCAGGCAACTACTAGTCTAACATAATGTTTTTGTTTCCTGTGTTTCCTGCAAAGCAAAGATTTGTTCGACACATATTTAAAGGTCAATTATAAGACGATATTTCCATTAATGAAAGTAATTACTAGCGTAAAAAACAGACACTCGAACGCGTTTTACAAATCCAGATGATCCTAAGAACGCGTCTAAACGCTCTTTTTATCCCAGTGAAAGAAAAAAAAATGTGTCCAGGTGCATCTTTTCCCCTCAATTGAATCAAAGATGTGTGTGGACACTCCTCAGTCTTAAGACTTGTTTAGACGATCGGAGTAAAAACAAAATATTTTTAGACACGTTTAACGTTCTTTTAATAACAGTTGCATTTACACTCATCATTGAGACCAGAAAAGACCTTGCACGCGTCTAGATGCGTTTATTCTATGCAAACGCTGACTTTTAGATTTTCTAACCGTTACAAAATTGGAAATACCATGATCGTGAGATGCGCGTCCTTTTTCAGAAAAAGTCGCGTCTCCCGTTCAGGTTTTTAATTTAGATTAACTCAAAAGCTTGAAAGGCACTTATTGCTTCTTTTTGAAAAACTCGTTCGTTTGAGATCGAAAAATACGTCTAGAAAGTTTTTTTTAATTGAAATAAACAATTTACATTTACCGTTGATTAAAAAACGATTCGTTCACACTTTTTGTTCAGACTGTTTTTTTGATCGTTAACGGACCGATCTATGAACGCTTTATAAAGGTACTATCTTTAGTACCAAGCGCAGAAAGAGCCATTTCCTCTCATCAAGTTTCTTTCACTTTTTATGTAGGACGACGGGAAAACTTCTAAGCTATTCAAAGAAAATTTGTTTCCTTTTTTCAGAGAGCTTAAGAAAAAAGATAGAAAACTAAATTCACGCTAAAGTAGAAAATTTATTCTTTTTCATTTCGTTCATTAAAAAGGAAACGTTCTTATATCTTTTACAACTACCATAAATAAGATAATAAAATCGACGGAATTGAGACAGAAGAAAAATAAAGCGGCATCTTTGAAGTCTTAATTTGAATTATGGTGTTAGAAAAAAACGAACTATGGTAAGACAAAAAGAAAATATCGGGCTTAAAATGTCAAATTTAAATCGAATATTTCACATATAACGACACATGTACTCTGATCAAATGAGCTTAGCTTTTTTATTTAGCTCTGCCGGCGGGCCGTCAGGCTTTCATAGAGCGGTTTTCTGGAAACTAGTCTTCCAGAAACCTTAAAAGATCCCTAAAACTTTCTCTTAATAGATCACGACTGTAACCCACGAAATTCTGATTAAAATGAGACATCTACCAGCTCTTCGCGATCTTTCTTTACAAAACTATAGAATTTACAATAAAAGCCTAAATTAATTTCTTCTTATTTCTGTAGCTTTTAGCTGACAATGAACATTTAAGACTTTTGTTGCAAATTCTCTAACTTTGCAAAGAAAGGCCATGTAGAGGTGGAAGATGTCTCGTTTTGATCAGAATTTCGTCGGCTACGATCGTGATCTATTAAGAGAAAGTTTTAGGGACTTTTTGAGGTTTCTAGAAAAACCGCTCTAGGAGAGAGGGCATGGCGACCCGTCTCATATGGATATTCGGAATCAACGTGGTCGATAATCTGAAATCCACTAGGTTTCGACCAGAAAGCATCGACAGTTGGAACTGGTCCCTCGTTAGTTGAACAAACTTCTTCCAGAACTTGACCATTATCATTTATTTGTTTAAGTGAATATTTTCGTCAATATGAAAAAAGTGGTGGTTCTTTTTGTCAAACAATTATATTGTGAACTAGATATCTCAGCAACTTTTTGGAAAAATCTTAAAATCTAAGTCGACTACTCTATATTCCAAACGGTGCCATTTTAACTAAGGCTATTTTAATTAAATAACTTCTGAGAAAATCGGGAAAATTTCTATTGAAAAGAAAAAAATTTTCATATTGCGGTAAAAGTGATTATTTTATTTGAAAAACGAATATATAAATACATATTTATGTGTAACTGATATTTATAAATAGAAAGAATACAGTTCAGCTTTAAACTGTGTTACATTGTGTAATTGATAATAAAAAATGAAAATTTGTTCTATTCTGTGGAATGGTGTAGGACGAATCAAGAATAACTTCGCGATCATGTCAATAGTTGTAGAATATCTTTCTTAATTTTAGAGAACTTTTTGTGAGCGTTGATAGTCATATAGGCAAGACTCTCATTGATACACTTGTGAAAAATTGGCTCAAAATGCTTCAAAGTATCGGACTCCCAGTGGTTTTACTGGTTCATCCCACAGCTTTTCTTAATTCGTCTGTGCTTGGGGCCACTCAAGAAAACACATAGCTCTAAGTAGGATGAGTCAAGAATACTCATTAAAATAAATCGTATTTTTTATTATTTGTAAAATCCAATTATCTTAGAGATAATTGGTACTAATTGAGTAGATTTTCACACCACTGGACTACAAGGAAATCTATCCGCTTCCTTTCATTCAGAAAGAAAAAGAAAAGAGAACGATATTTATCTATATCTAGGCGTATACTATAGCCTAAGTCTATGTGTACGCGTAGATTTATTTTTGATGACTTCCCTTAGGCATCAATTAATAGCAAATATATATAACGGATGAGCCAAATTAAACCGGCCACTTTTATTTTCTGTTTTTAAGGCAGTAAAAATCGT